CGAATGACTCCATGGGACGGCTGTCTGGGTAAAAGTCCATACGAATGCATAAAAACTCCCGAACGACCGACGTTCGCATGCCTTGTCGAAATAGAAGGTGGGCATCAGCTTCCAGCGGTGTTCGGTAGTTTAAGTGTCCGTTTTTAGTTCCATACAATTTGTACCGAACACCGCTATGCGTTCGTGTGTCCCAAAATGGCCGCTGCCTCGTGGTCGACATGCGAACGACGACCACCCGTACAAATGGAATGGAGAGGTGTCTGCGGTTAACCACAACGTTCTAATTGGGGCCAAGAGGTTAACCAGCAGCACACTCCTCTCCTGGGTGGTCGTTCGTTCGGTAGTTTCAATCTGTAGTTTGCAAATTACACGAACGGGGGTATACGAACAGGAAATCCAGCGAAACAAAGGGAAACAGACGAACCAGCAATACAGATGAATCTGTCACAACGTGCATTTGGTGATACGAACAGCGGCAACACAGGGAAAAAACTTTATTTAACAAGCAATTTGCGGTTAGCAGCCAGGGGTGGTCAGTTATTAAAAGATGCGAACCCATGGGCCACACAAATGGGGGTTCGGTAAATAAATGGGGTGGTTACGGACAGTCGAACAAAGGGAATGAAAAGTGTATGACCAGCGTAACTCCTGAAGTAACTCCTGATTTTGGTTTTTGAGGGCAGTTTTCCCCTTTTTTGTATATTATAGCACATGTCTTAATGTGAGATATTAGATCTGAATATAACGACCTGCCCAGTGCGGGTAAATGATGATCCCAGATAGGGCCTTCAAATAAATAGAAATAAATACAGTTTGAGTCCATTTTACAGCCTGTCTCCCATGATCCCTTTCACCTCATTGCATGCTGTTTTTACCCGTTTATGTATTATAGGTAGTATTGTAATATTGATGGTTTTATTATATGTATTATTACCGTTTGCAGTAATGCGATCTGGAGTGTACTCTGGGGTATTCCGTATTATTGCTGCTAGTTTCGTGTCGCTGGGATTTGTCTAAGGTGCATTACCCAGGATGCACTACTGAATGGGTTTCTTCAGTTTAATAGTTTTATGGTCACATAATCTATTTTAATTATATTGTATATCCACTTTTGTCCTTTTCTTTGCACACTATTTGCTATTAATTGTTCTGGTTATGGCCTGACTGGTATGATACATTGTCTTTTCAGAGCCAAAACGTTTAATAAATCTGCTTGTGGACTTTTCCAGTGTGTTTGGTTTTCAGCTTTTACATATGAATTTGTTTTACATTTTTTTTATATTTGATGGATTTATATAATAAAACTCCCCCAAATTTGTTTTTAAGTACCTCAATTAATGTATGACCAGATAGCTTGGTCTATAACGTATGCATGTTACCTATCCTGGGAGATTCACCCAAAATAAGAAAAGAAAATCCACCAGCCCCATGGTGAGACGCAATAAATGAACACAGAACGCTGAGCTTCAAATTAAGTAAATTACAATTTTATAAAGAAATATTAAACCTTTATTTTATTAAAAAAAAAAGGAGAGGAAACAAGCATTGTTTTGCAGAAAAGATACAGGCTACAAGGAGAGGTGTCATTTTACAGAATGCATGTACAAAGTGGAGCCTTTGAGATGTCAATAAAATGATGGATTTAATGAATGTGACAAAAAGTAATAGAGATAATCAAATACGCTGAATGTACAAATAAAGCGCAGAATGCCATATCACTAATAAAGATATGTTTGTTCACAGCAACATAGGAAAACACGCCGATTGCCACAATTCCCAGCCCCCACTAGCGGCACGAGGCGCTGTATTAATTAAGTTACTGTTATTTGAGTGAGTAATTATCTGAAAACTCTGCTGAAACAAAGCGACAATCTATTTACAGAGAATGTCGCTGGAAAGCAAAACCCTTTCATTATGCGGTTAAGAACCTGGTAATTAATAAAGCAGCGTACTAATTATGCACGCTAACATTGCAATAGAAAGGATGCTATGAAAGAATAAAAGATTACTTTGACAATTTGTACTGAGGAACATTTTGGTGTTAATCTCAAAGGCTCGAGTTGCCACAAGTGTTTATTTAATTATTGTCGGAATATTCAATTTGAATGTGTCACACGCAATATCTCAGCAACAAAGGCTGGTACAAGCTCCGTTGCCTAAATGGGCTGCAGCACCTGCTGCTCGCTACACGAAATGTTGAAAAATCACTCCCCCCATCCCAGTACACTGGATCAGCTCTGCCAGTACCTCCGTCAGGGCAAAGGCATGGCTGTCACCATACGCCCTACGTTAGAGAATAAGCTGCTACCATCCTCCAAGGTTATGTCACAACTGCCGTCAAGGTATCCAGCGAACATGGAGAGACAATGGGTGAATAGGATGGGGATCATTTAATGGGAGTGGGAGAGTCTGAATAACAATGACTGATTTACATCTGGATACGGATAAAGTGATACAAGGTGACAAACATACAGAAACAGAAACAGAACGTCATTACAAGACGGCTTTGTGTTTTTACAGCTTTTTTTTTTTAACAATGCTATTTCTAGATATAGGATCCCAAAGAAACTGGGCCAACAAAGCGTCAGAATTCACCGCCCTCTTCCGCTGTAGTGAGTAACTGCGTGAAATAATGGCCATTTTTTTCAGTAAATTCTGCATTTATTTTGTCCAGCGAGTTATGTTAGTGAATAGCGCCGATCTTTTCACTGGATTCCAAGTCTAAGTCATCTTTCTGGATGCGCCAAGTTAATGGACCAGTGAATCTCTTTTCTAACATCCTGGCTCTATAAAACTGATAACCTGTTGTTTTTAATATCACTTTTATTCCTCTAGGAAATTTCCACTGATGATATTGTTTGTCCTGACTGCATTCCCCACAGACCCAGCTCATTCCCTGCCAACCCAATCGCTATTCTGCGTCTGCCATTAATATTATATATAGAGACACGTATAAAAATATTGGATTGCCTATTAGTGTTTTATTGATATATAATTTCTCATGCGGGTTGTGGACGCCCATTTTCCTCTTCGTGACGGTTAATTGAAATGAAGAATTAAGCCACCAACGACATTACAATTTGCAATATATATTATTGATCATATTTACAGCGTAAAGTACATGTTCTGAAGCCAAATATATATAATTACCTTTTACAAAAGGATCTAATATTGCATCTTGTGAGCGGCAATGATCTGCAATCCACCGGGAGACACTTTGACTCTTTAAAGCACTCTCTGACATTGAAAAAGCAAAAGTAATCTCGATTCCAAATTGGGTGTAATTTGGAGCAGATAAAGCAACGAGCCTTTTCCCTGTAGAAAATCACAGATAATGTAACATGTAATTGACAATAGGGGAGGGATGACCTTAACTAGAAGGCTCCTACTCTGTCCAACGCAGAGAAATTGCTTTTAGGTACATGATTTGTGAAGTGACAATTTAAAAAAAAAATGTATATTTTTAAAAAGCTGGCTTACTTAACATTGAATTTGTTTTAGTGAGCGCAGTTCAATAATAGCCCTGTATACATGATTATGTTTTGTAGAACATTAAAGTTTGAGAATTTCTGCGAATGCTCTGATGTGATTGCTTTTGTGGTTACGAAAGACTTGACCGCTCTGGTCACCATTTGCCCAAATTAAAGGTGCGTTCGGGACATGATTTCATTATAAGCAGAGTTATTCGAGGTCTTGACTTGAGTTTCTATTTCGGCGTGTGAGCACTTACAGGAGGTAAAGTCAAAGAGCAGACCGAGGGTAGAATTGAAAGGGGCAGGACTTTCACAATAACACAAGAATTGGATAACTTTCTAAGAGTCTCTGAAACTAACGCACTTTAATATGTGCCATTGGTAAACCCCTCAAAGTAGATCAAATCATTTGTCCTGATTTTGCGAATTTTGGGGAACTTTGTCCTGATTTCTCCAGTAACCTAAACTCCTCAATCAATAATCACATCACTGTTTCAAAGCGAATCCTTCCATAAATATGTTATTATATATATTTAAAATGTAAACTTATAAAGGTGTTTTCCGGAGGGCATGCTGACATTTTTCATGTTGCCATTTTGTCAGCAATCTCTTGTAACATTTAAGGTATTTTGTATTTCTCTCTCACAGTTACAGAATTTCTCTGATCGTATGATTTCTGTGTTCGATATAGGTTACTGCTCTGGATAGAAGAAATTGGATTTCTAGAACTTGTGCAATGGCTGCTCTGACTTCCCAAACCAGAGTCTCTTCCTTCTGGCTGTAGATAAATGCTCTATAGGATCCTCGATAGGAGTATTAATATGGCCACTGAAGCCATCCGCTATGTGAGTACCAAAATGGCTGAGGCCAGAAGAAACATAGAATGGCACTTTAAATTGTAACATGTGTAACGTGTTGATAGTATGAAATACCAATGGGTGGGGAGGTAAGGGAGACCATCCCCTACCTGAAACAAGCAGTATAAGGAATACAATGGCACATCAAAATGGTTGTACCAAGATGGCGGCACACCCATTTTGGAAGTAGAGGGAGTTCCCAGGGAGGCAAGAGGGAGGGAGCTGGAAACCCTCATTGTCTCCAAGAAGGATTATGGGAGATCTAGTCTTAGTCTGCATGGGGAACGCAAGGCAAGAGAGAGGGAGCTGGAAACACTCATTGTCTCCAAGAAGGATTATGGGAGATGTAGTATCTTAGTCTGCATGATGAACACAAGGCAAGAGAGAGTGAGCTGGAAACCCTCATTGTCTCCAAGAAGGATTATGGGAGATGTAGTCTTAGTCTGCATGAGGAACGCAAGACAAGAGAGAGGGAGCTGGAAACCCTCATTGTCTCCAAGAAGGATTATAGGAGATGTAGTCTTAGTCTGCATGAGGAACGTAAGACAAGAGAGAGGGAGCTGGAAACCCTCATTGTCTCCAAGAAGGATTAAGGGAGATGTAGTATCTTAGTCTGCATGATGAACACAAGGCAAGAGAGAGTGAGCTGGAAACCCTCATTGTCTCCAAGAAGGATTATGGGAGATGTAGTCTTAGTCTGCATGAGGAACGCAAGACAAGAGAGAGGGAGCTGGAAACCCTCATTGTCTCCAAGAAGGATTATAGGAGATGTAGTCTTAGTCTGCATGAGGAACGCAAGACAAGAGAGAGGGAGCTGGAAACCCTCATTGTCTCCAAGAAGGATTATAGGAGATGTAGTCTTAGTCTGCATGAGGAACGCAAGGCAAGAGGGAGGGAGCTGGAAACCCTCATTGTCTCCAAGAAGGATTATGGGAAATGTAGTCTTAGTCTGCATGGGGAACGCAAGGCAAGAGAGAGGGAGCTGGAAACACTCATTGTCTCCAAGAA